GCGGTGCTGCCGTCACGGTCGTCCGTATTGGCGGTAGCATTGGTACGAATGGCGTTTTTATCTTTCGCGGATTCTTTTTTATTTTCTGTAAGGTGCTCATGTTGGTCGTCTTTTTCTTTCACTGCTGTTTTTGAGGATTCAGCATTGGTTTGAACCTTCACTTCTTCCTTTTCGGCGTCAGAAGTGGAAGCATCACCAGCACGTGCAGTAACAGATGGCGATGCTGGGTCGCTAGTTCCATTCGATGTAATCTCCGTTTCAGTTAAGGGAGCTTCTTCTACTGGCTGTTTTGTTGAACCGGCGCTGGTGTGCGTCTGTTGCAATTTCCCCGTTGGTGCAGGTGCCAGTGAGCCTTGCGTTGCCGCTGGCCCTGTGGGTGAGCCATGCAGCGCCTCTTGTTTGCCGTTTTGTTGTTGTAAGTGACGTTGTTCTTGTGGTTCACGTTTCTTGTCTTTTTCTTCCCGTTTAACATTATTTTCTTTAGCAATTTCTTTGTTTTCCGCCAGATTTTTCCCTACAAGGTTGCGTGATGCTTCCTGGTGACTCTGACTTAAAATCGCTTCCGGAGTACCTGTGCCAGGTGCAACAACTTCTTCTCTACTTTGAGAAATAGGTTCCTTTACTTTTTGCTTTTCATTTTCTTTAGGTACATCACCTTTTCCACTGCCTCCCTGGGATTTATCTGCGGGTTCTTTTCTGGTTTTATGTTCAACGCTTGATTTTTGTTGTTTCCTCCGTTGTTCTTCTTCGGTGTCGTTCTCCGTTTCTTCGACTCGAGGACTTTCAGATTGCAGTTGTACTTCTACAGGTTGTTCAACCGGTAGAAGTAGACCTTCTGCTTGGTGGTCTCCTCCGTCTTGGAGTTGTTTTTGAGGCTTTGCTTCATCGACTTGCTCGTCTTTTTCAGAATCTCCCTTGTCCCGCGATTCCACTCTTTGTAATTCTTGTGCTTCATTAGGCCGGGATGAGGGCACAACGAGCTCCACAAGCTCTTCTTCACCACCGTCCGCAACTCCACCGCCGGCACCGCACCACAGCACGCAGAGGGCACACACCAGCAGCACAAGGCCAGTCATCATCATCGCCATCACTCCTGTCACTTGCGTGCAGCCTTCAGCACAAACTAACACCCCGTCAACGCAGAGTGAAAGCAAAAAGAGTGGCACAGTAAAAAACGCCAGCAGGATCATCACGCATTTCATAAGAAATATTGAACAAATGAAAGAGCAAGAAACGCACAACGCCCTGCAAAAACTTCAAAAAAACACACAACAAATGGAAGATGAACCAAAAGTAAAAAAGCAGCAATAAAGTAAAACAGTAAAAACACAAGAAAAAAACCTGCACCCAAGTGGCTCCAGTGCGCATGCGCCCATCCTCAACAGTGCGTCCACACAAACAGTTGCAAGCGTGTCGTGCATATGAGTGTGTCCGCGATGCGTTCAACGTGACGGATGCAGGGAGCCACAACGCGGAGCACACAGCAGGGCAGCCGAAGCAAACAAAGCAAAAAACAATCATTATTTTCTCTTATTTACTTACATTGGACCACAGTAGACGTACAGATGTCCCCGTGGCTTTGAGTGCTGGCACGCACAGCCCGCATGCACCTCTTCAGCCCACAGCGGTGTACGCCAGCGCGGATGCGGCAAGCACCAGCGGGGTACACACCCACGCAGAGCTGCTGAGGCTGCCGTCGATTCTGTGAAGAAGTGACGGTGCGCGGGTGGTCGCCGTATTTGGCGCCTCTGTATTTGTAGTACTTGGTGCCTCTGGCGCAGTGGTGGTCGTCGTGGTTGGTGCGTTTGTCGTAGTGGTGGTCGTAGTAGTAGTATTTGGTGTCTCTTCCGTAACATCTTTATTAGTATTTGTCTCTTCCGTATCGTTGTCTAGACCTTTTACCACCAACGTATCGGAATTATGCGTTAAAGCTGCCGAATTGGTATTCAAACCGTCTGACCCCGGCTCCGCAGAAACAATTTTTCCACCCTGTGCAGTTGACAACACACCTGATCCCTCTTCCGAAACGGGCCTAACTGGTCGATCACGCTCACTGGAAATAACCGGTTTCGGGACTTTATCGGTACCTGAGTTTAAAGAATTGCTATTCAAACCCAGTTCCTCTGGTTTGGACGGATTACCGCGGCCATCCTGATCTTCACAAGTCCCTATGACCCATAAGGACGGGCAGCAGCACAGGGCGAGCACCAACAGGGCGCACAGCAGACGGCACGTCATCATCGTGAGTGTGGTCGTTCAGTGGTGTGGAGCTGACCTGCACAGTGAGGGACATGGAGAGCAACAGGGGAGACGAGAGGTGCGGCAGACACACACAGAGGGCACACCACATGAGGAGAGAGCAGCAGCCAGGCATGCACCGTACGCCGCACACCACGCACGACACACACTCCAATCCACGGCAACAGGCACACACACACACAGCCCTGCCGCAGCACCAACACACAGATGGAAGAGGGAGAAGCAAACAGGAGCGGCACACAAGGCTCCACCGCATGCACATACGGCGAGAGCGGTCCGTCGTGTCTGCACGCCTCACGGAGGGTACGCACACACACAAGAGGAGGTGCAGCGCACACAGCAACACAAAAGCAAAGTAACAATAAAAAGGAGATCCCCGCACACCACGTGAATTGTTGTTCCACGGGAAGTGCAGCCAATATTCATCACAAAAACAATTCAGTTGTGTTTGGCCTTCGTTCATATTCAGCGCACGCCACTTCATTCAGGCGCGGGAACCACCGCAGCAGCAGCCGCACACGCAACAACAACAAGAAGCAAAAGAGGGGAGGTGGTGTGGGAGACAGCGGTGCTGCCGTCACTGTTTTGTGTGTTCGTCGTATCAGTTGTGTTGGCGGTTACTGTCGTTGCTTTTGTATCTTCCCCAGTCCCTTCTGAGCCTTTGTCATGGTGGCTTTGTGGTGTGGCTGCGGTCTCAGGCAACGGAACATTTTTTTGACCTTCACTCGTGGTGCCTTCGCCATCCTGCTCGCGGGAATGAATACCGTCCTGTGGAGGAGGTGGTGAGGGATTTCCTTCCACAATTCCCGCAGGCAGTGTGTTCTCCCCGTTAATTGTTGTGAGTGCGCTCTCTACCGCTGCTGTATTTTCGTCGGTTTCCTTTTTTCCTTCAACTTCCGTTTGCGTATGATTGACATTTAATTCCCGACTGCCGGAAGGAGAAATGCTCTCTGCGGATGAAATTGACAGTTCTGTTTGCTTCTCACTGCCAATTAACTTCTTTGCGGTGGAACCTGAGCCCAGTGCAACTGTTCCCTCTTGACCACTCTGCCCTCGTACGTTTTCTTCTCCTTCATCTTCCGTTCCTCCATCATCATCATCACCTTCTTCAATATCGTCATCAACATCCTCATCATCTTCCTCTGTGGGTGTGGAAAGTGAATTTTCTTTAGCACCTGCTGCTCCACCTTTTAAATCCTGCGTGCCTTGTGAAGACGTTTCAAGTCCTTTTGATTCCGGCGGAGACTTACCACCATCCTGTTGCGCACCAACTCCCACCCCCGCATCACATCGGCCGCAATTCCAGATAAAACACACCACAGCACGCAGAGGGCACACACCAGCAGCACACGGCCAGTCATCATCATCGCCATCACTCCTGTCACTTGCGTGTAGCCTTCAGCACAAACTAACGCCCCGTCAACGCAGAGCAAAAGCAAACAGAGTGTCACACAGCCACCGCAACAGCCACCGCACAGTAACAAATGTCAACACACCAGCAGCTGCGCACACACCACGAGACAGTTGGAATCAGTAGAATAGCAGAACTCGCACACCGCCCCGCTAAAAAATTTAAAAGGCAAAAAAAAAAACAAAAACAACAACCAATAATTAAAAAGAAAAAACAAACCAGGAGCTCCGGTGCGCATGCATACGAGTGTGTCCGCAACGCGTTCAAAGTTGCGGATGTGGGGCACAACGCGGAGCACACCGCACGGCAGCAGAAGCAAACAAAGCAAAAAACAATCATCATAATTACACTTACTTTATACATCGGACCACAGTAGACGTACACATGTCCCCATGGCTTTGAGTGCTGGCACGCACAGCCCGCACACACCTCTTCAGCCCACAGCGGTGTACACCAGCGCGGATGCGGCGAGCAGCAGCGGGGCACACACCCACGCAGAGCTGCTAAGGCTGCCGTCGATTCTGTGAAGAAGTGACGGTGCGCGGGTGGTCGTCGTAGTTGGCGCCTCCGCAGACGTAGTACTTGGCGCCTCTGGCGCAGTGGTGGTCGTGGTGGTTGTCTGGGCAGGAGGTTTGTTCGTCGTGGTCGTCTTTGCGGGATCTTCGGCTTCCTTATCTGTGAGGTTTGCACATTTATTAGTGTCACTTTGTAACCCTGTCGTACCGGTCAAACTTTTTCCCGCTCCGGCATCATCTCCTGGCTTCTCAGCCGGCTTAGTCACTGGTGGTGCGGGTGGCCCTGACTGTTCCTTCACCTGTATTCCCTCTGTTGAGGAGGACGATGAAATTGTGACACCTAAATGAACTTGAGCACCAAGTGTATGGCTCGTTTTAGGGTCCGGAGACTGCATAGTCGTCGTTGTGGTCGCCTTGGCGGAATTTTCATCAGCCGTATCCTGCGCAAAGCATAAGAAAGGGCAGCAGCACAGGGCGAGCACCAACAGGGCGCACAGCAGACGGCACGTCGTCATCATCGTGAGTGTGGTCGTTCAGTGGTGTGGAGCTGATCTGCACAGTGAGGGACATGGAGAGCAACAGGGGAGACGAGAGGTGCGGCAGACACACACAGAGGGCACACCACATGAGAAGAGGGCAGCAGCCAGGCATGCACCGTACGCCGCACACCACGCACGGCACACACTCCAATCCACGGCAGCAGGCACACACACACACACACACACACAGCCCTGCCGCAGCACCAACACACAGATGGAAGAGGGAGAAGCAAACAGGAGCGGCACACAAGGCTCCACCGCATGCACATACGGCGAGAGCGGTCCGTCGTGTCTGCACCCCTCACGGAGGGTACGCACACACACAAGAGGAGGTGCAGCGCACACAGCAACACAAAAGCAAAGTAACAATAAAAAAAGGAGATCCCCACACACCACGTGGATTGTTGGTCCACGGGAAGTGCAGCCAATATTCATCAAAAAACAGTTCAGTTGCCCTCGGCCTTCGTTCATATTCAGCACAAAACACTTCATGCAGGCACGGCAAATACTGCATCAGCAGCCGCACACTCAAAAATAAGCGCGGGAATGGAATAATGCAAGCAACTATTTATTTGTGTTTCTGTTTGAACGTTGGCAGATGTCTGCATGCGTTTTGTTTTTTCTTTGCGGAGGGCAAACCTTCATGCCTGGATCGTGTGTTGGGGATTTCTGCAGGGTACACAATTTGTTTTCTTTCCTCTTGTGCATTTTTTTATTGTGTTGGTGCAGCCAAGAATTCGGTTTGTGATGTTCCTGCCTTTCGCCGGTAAAGTGTTGCAATAGATGCTTTTGTTTTCCTTTCGTTGCTGTGGCTCCTGATTCCTCACCGTTTATTGCGGTGGAAATGAAAATATGTGAGTGGATTCCCACGCACCAGAACGCACCTTCGCTCCTATTTATTGCTGCATGGAAGGGCGTGTGTGTTTGGTGGTGTCTCGCCCATATACTTTGTGGGTGCACATTCCCCTGCAGGCTGAGGGCGGGATGACGCTCCGTTGCGGTGCACTTCCGTCGCATGCCGCCCACTGTGATCCATCATGCATCACCCTCTCACACATATTCCGTGGTGCCACACCGCTGATATTATTGCAGCCACTGTGATTCCGCATACTTCGCGCATTTGATTGTGCCACAATACATCCGCTCGTGTGGCCGCCGCATCCAAACAGCGGTGCCCAACACCGTGAGCGGCAGTCCACATCCTTGCATGTCCCAACGCAGTGGTTTTTGACTGTCAGCCAGGCGTCAGACAACAGGAGAGTCTTGTGCTGGCAGTACAACACACGGAGCTGCAGTGAATGACTCGGGCGGGGACGCATCTTTTCGTCGCAAAGCAGTGAAAAGGAGTCGGGCAAAATAATGCCGGCTGCACTCACGACACCATATCCACAGCCAAAGCATGCGACGTGATGTGTGTTTCACTGGTGCTGTGAAACGCCTGCAGACGACGTCACTAGTGGAGGCGCGCCACCCATGATCAGCGGACAGACAATAATCGGCATGGGAGACCACAAAAGGCAGCAACGACGCCAGCAGCAGGAGCAGCTCTCTCCCTCTCTCTGTTGCCTCCGAGAAGTAAATATTCCACCAGCCACAGCCGACTGTGCCATCGTGACACTCCATGCACGTCGTGGCTGCGTCAACACATCCTGTTCCCTGCTGCGCCTCAAAAGATGCCTCACTCCGTCCACTAAGTGCATCGGTGTGGGCCGTGCCTCGGCTGTTCGTGAGGACCACAACGATGTGAGGGTCACCGAGTCGCAGCATGTTTGTTGTGACGTTGTTGTATGGCACCTGCACACACACACGCAGCGCCTGCATCCCTCCCTTTTGTGTCCGCCCTCCGCCGGAGTGGCCACACACACGGGCAGCAGCAAAATCACTTCACCCTCGACGATCCAAAGTCAACACCGACATCCCTCGCGACGCAAAAAGATCTCATTTGCCAGCACGGGCTTCCTGCCGCCCTGCCATCGACGCTAAAACACGGCACAGTGCACGCACTTATTTTCCTCGTGTGCAGTCAGCCGTTTTCTTCACACATTCTTCGATGGGCTGATGCCCACAAAAGCACGCCACAAAAGGCCACTGTGATCGCACACGCTCTTGCGATGAGCGTCGGTGTGTGCATGGATCCGCTGCTCACACGTGCTGGCAGGCAGCCTGCAGCCGGTGCCCTCGTGCCAGTTCGTCGGCTCCAGCACGGAAAAGAGAAAACGGCCCATTCCCGATGCACTTATTCCCACCAGCAGCACCAACACGCTGGTCGCCAGCCGCCATTCCTCAGCACATCCAGGAATGCTGAAAAGTGACGTGGAACTGTCAGCCAGCAATGCCACAATCCCCGCACACATTTCGGCTCCACCAGAGAAGACACACAAATCACAAACAACACCCTCCACACGTCATCCAAACATCATTCCAACACACCGCGACACGCCAAACAGAAGTATTCGTCACCCCAATGCACCTCCTCACACAATCACATAGTCCATGCACCACGCACGGCAGCAGCTCACACGCGGTCAAACAAATGTTCTTCGGATCAGTGTTATTCACATGCTGCGGTGGGAAGTAAACAAAAGAGACGAGCTGCCAAACCCCAAAAGAGTGCCACGACTGGCCGCAACTCAACGGAACGCAGCCACTCAAATGAATTCAGTTCCAATACCCTCAACCTCCCACCTTCCCCACAAAAGCTGCAAAAGATTGAAAACAAACGCACCGTCCAATAAATTCTTTGTGCAACACCAAAAGAGGCCGCAGTGCCTTATGCTGTCCTCACAGTAGGTTGTTGACGCCTTCACGGGGACAGACGCCCATTGGCTATTTAAAAAGACGTGCTACACCTGCGACGCATCTCCTGCGCTTTGAGGCGCACGTGCCTCACTACCACCAGAGACGCCCACGCACCGTCTGTACGCAACAAATCGTCAAGGAACGAAGAATTCGTCAGGCTGACAGCAAGACATCCACCGACAAATCACATCGCAGACATCATCACAAACACCAGCAGCGCCAAAAGACCGCAGAGTAAAGTAACGTCGATCAACGGACGCATGGCGTATGTCAACGAAAAAACTTGGTGGCGTGACAGGGATACAAGAGGCTGACACTCTCTCAACAAGAAAGGAACAGCATCATAATACAAAAAGACAATTTAGGCGTCCACAGTCGAAGCAAACCTCCGATCAAAAAGGAGGAATGCATGCACGCACCCGCAACACAAGCAAACCAACAAAAATGCCAAAGCATGGGACGACCAGCGCACACACTCTCATTGCTCCCGTAAAGCAAAACACACACACAGAGAGAGAGAAGAACGAGTGTGTGTGCGGGCGGTGCACGGCTCTCTCTCCCTCACTCTCACGCGGCCACCACCGCAGCAGCAGCCGCACACGCAACAAGAAGAAGAAGCAAAAGAGGGGAGGTGGTGTGGGAGACCGCGGTGCTGCCGTCACTGTCGCCAGGTATCGCCGTGTCATTTCTCTTGGTGATGGTGACATTTTCTGTTGAGGTTTCTCCTCCTGCTTGAAGTTCCGTTGCTGTTGGTGATGGTTCTGCGGATGATGATCGTGGAGTTGTTTGTTTTACTGGTGGGTTGCTGGTAGTAGAAGATAGGCTTGTAGTGGCTTTCGGTCCGACGTCTCCCTTCTCCTTTTCAACTGCATCCCCACTATCATATAGGATTTCTGCGGCTTCTTCTGAAGTAGAGGAGCCCTGTTTTGCTTTGGATTCTGATCTCTCCTTTGGCTGCTCGTTGGGCAATGCGGTTCAAAGAGACATTTTTTCCGACTGTAGACCATTTTCTGAAGGTTGCGTGCTCTGAACAAATGGGGCATCGATGGCAGAAGATGAAGAAATGCCAGCCGTAGAAAGAGGAGAAACTGAAGAGTCACCTCGAGAACTGCCACCGGGTCGGGTTCCATCAGATTCTGGTGATTGTGGCGGTCTTATTGCTTGGCCCGCCTGTCCTGCATGTTCTGCTGTTTTATCTCCACTGGTCAACATTTTCTCTGCTGGTGTTGGAGATGGGTTCCTTTCGTTTTCTTTTGGGCCATCGCGTTCCTGCGTTCCTTCTGAATGATCTTTTGGTGGTTCTTCATGACTTCTTGTTTCCTCATCTTCCGCTTTCTTTACTTCTACTTTTTCTTCTTTTCCTGCCGCCCCACCATTATCTCTTGGTGGTTGTTTGACAGAAGTTTTTTGAGGGCTGGCCTTTGTTATGTCTTGCGAATCTAACGGTCCTTCTGAGGTGTTCAACAATTCACCGACTGGAATTCGTATATCCGATTCTTCTTCATGGCCGCCCTCAGATAAAGTCTGTGAACCCCTTGATGGTTCATCTTGTAGTTCAGTAACATCATCACCCTCCGCCTCCACCGCAGCACCGCACCACAGCACGCAGAGGGCACACACCAGCAGCACACGGCCAGTCATCATCATCGCCATCACTCCTGTCACTTGCGTGTAGCCTTCAGCACAAACTAACTCCCCGTCAACGCAGAGCAAAAGGGAAAGGAGAAATTCAAGTCCGCTACACCACGCACAGTAACAAATAGCAATGCGCACACACCATGAGGCAGTTGGAATCAGTACAATTGCAGAACTCACACACCGCCCTGCAAACCAGAAGTTAAAAATGCAGTAAAAAAGAACAACGACAGAGTTGAGAGTCCGGCATGACTCCCAAAAAGTAAAAAAATAAAAATAGATCAGGCACGACTTTTATTTTATTTGCCAAGCAGCAAAATGTAAACAACCACTGGTTTGTGTATACGTAATGCATGGACTGAAAAAGCAAGAAAAAAAATCGTACTGTTCCGTGAGCCCACACAACTCTCCTCACATTTCATGCGGCACACAGCCTGTCTCTCCAATCCTCATTTCGTGCAGTCCGTGGGATGCACAGCAGTGAGGCCGGCACCGCGTGTAGGCAATGGAATGAAACAAGGAGGAGAAACACGTCACTCATGACAGTGTGCGGCAAGCAACCATTGGCAGAAAAACACGGGGATGCTGATTATTCCAATGGGGCAAAAGCAGCAAAAAATAAATAAATAAAAGAAAATAAAAAAGCTTAAATTATTGACAAAACTCAGTGGGTAATGCTGGCAAGCTGCACGGTTATTGTTCCACGAAAAACCGCGGTTCCACCCTCCCTCACACTTCAGCAGAGCGCCACAGTGCCTCACAGTCCCAGAATCAGAAGCAACAACACCCGAGACACACACCCATGCACGGTGCTCTCACCAATTTCGGCCATGGCCAACAAATCCGTGAAATGCCAGTACTCAAGCAAAAGGTCCTCCAGGCTTTTTTCCGCGCTGCGCTCCGATGGGATCTCTGGTTTCCCAGACGTTGTGCGCAAATAATCCTGTGCGGCATCACCGCCGCCCGACACGTTATCACTCGTTCAACATTTGCTAGGGCTGTGCTGTGCTCAGGCGTGGCTGTTGTACCTTCCAGAGGCATCAGATCACTGTTGCTGAGAGAATCGGGGTCGCTGTCCGTGCCCACGGCGGTGCGGGCATACGTGTCCTATTCATGCTCAACGTCTTGTTATTCGCTGGCCACTGTCTTGGCGGTGGACGGTTCGTTGTCTCTCGCTGAGCATGCATATGGATCCGCTGCGCTGCCACTTGACTCCCCGGACAGCCGCGCTCCCTGTGGGGCCTCAACGCGCAGCTGCCGGCAGCCTTGCATGCTCCTGCCGAGCGGAGTGTCCTGTCACCCAGCATGGCCTCAGACAGTTTTCAGTTCCTCGCCTGGCAGCAGCATCCCAATCGCCCACACGAGTTCCTGCCGCCACAGACTCCCTCTCGGCGATGGAGCCACTATGCCTTGGCTCGCCGGCGGTGCACGACGACGTCACCGAGAGGAGTTCCACCGTGCCGCTTTCACTGGCGGATCGAGGTCGCGCTGTTGGCTCCACATTTTCCCATGACTCTGCGGAATCCCACGCAACGTGACAGCGGACGCTGACGCCGTCATGGCACGATCCCTCCCGCAGGACTGCGTCAATGCCTGGCACGTGGGCTTCCTCGCTGCAGTCAGGCGACTGTACTGGAAAGATGTCCAGGAGGAAAAGGAAGGCGCGCACACCGCGTGACAGGCGCTTGTCGGTGTGGCGAGGACTCTAATCCTGGTGTCAACACGGGCATCGTGCCCGAGTGGCGGCACCGCGCGCAGGTGCGATGCGACTCCTGCCCTCTATTCGGCAGGCCGCACGCGCCCTGCAGACCGCAAGTAACTCCCTGTGTCGGTGGCGCCGTCCCTTCCCAACCGAGGATAACGGCCCGCCTCTGCCGGAGCTTCTTCCCGACGTGAGCGCCGCAACCCCTTTCCGACCAGCGAGCGGCGGATCGAAATTCTCCTGCACAATCTGCGGCGGAGCGCTCGTCCATCCACAATATGACGGCACATGCCCGACGTGCTCGGCCTGGCGTTCCGATAGTTTGACAGGCCTCAACTTTGCATGCCGCAATGGCGCCGCCGTCTTCTTAGCAGGCGCCTCGCGCGCAGGTCGCCAACGAAAGATCCAAGCACGCCAGCAGGAAAGACACGCAGGAAACACAAACGCGGGCATTCGAGGTGGACCAGGCTCTTCCGCCACCGCCTCATCACAGACGCCACGTGCTGCTGATCCCCGACGGACCACGGGATACTCCGCTTCATCCACTGCGGTAATGCCCGTCGTTGAGAATATGGACTGTGGCTGTTTGGACCGCCTCAGCCCGCACGACGGCCTGTTTGCGAAGGAATACTTGCCACTTTTGTACGGACGGCCCTTGCTCTACTCACCGATTGCCGGCACAACACGCAAAAAAGAGTAAACATAATGTAAGTTGTTTAAATGATGAATATTGGCTGCACTTCCCGTGGACCAACAATTCACGTGGTGTGCGGGGATCTTCTTTTTGTTGATTGTTACTTTGCTTTTGTGTTGCTGTGTGTGCGCTGCACCTTCTCTTGTGTGTGTGCGTATCCTCCGTGAGGGGTGCAGACACGACGAACCGCTCTCGCCGTATGTGCATGCGCGGAGGAACCTTGGATGCGTTCTTTTTTATTTTTTTCTTTTTTACTTTGTAGAACTTCCGGTTTGCAGGGCGGCGTTCGAGATCTGCAATTGTACTGATTCCATCTGTCTCATTTTTGTGTGCGTTGCTGTTATTTTTTACTCTGCGTGACTCTCATTCCTGGATGGAACAGTGTGCGGTGGCTGTGTGACTTGTCTCTCTCCTTTCCTTTCACTCTGCGTTGACGGGGAGTTAGTTTGTGCTGAAGGCTGCACGCAAGTGACAGGAGTGATGGCGATGATGATGACTAGCCGTGTGCTGCTGGTGTGTGCTCTCTGCGTGCTGTGGTGTGTTGCGGCCGATGGAGCTGTTGGTGTGGTTTCTGGTGGGGACGACAACAGTCTGAAAGAATTATTTATTCCAGTTGCGAGATTGCAGGAAAGACAAGAACAAAGAGCAACAGGAGCAACAGCTGACGCAAAGGCAGCAGCAGAAGCAGCAGAAACAGCAGTCGCAAAAGCAACAGCAGCAAAAGTAGCAGCGGAAGCAGCAGCAAAGGCAAAAGCAGCAGCAACAGAAACGGCATCAAAAGCAAAAGCAGCAGCAGAGGCAGCAGCAGAGGCAGCAGCAAAAGCAAAAACATCAGCAGAAACAGATGAAACAGCAGCGAAAAAAGTAACAGTAGCAGCGGAAGCAGAAGCAAAAGCAGCAGCAGCATCAGAAGCAGCAAAAGCAGCAGCCACACAAGCAACAGCAACAGCGGAAGCAGCAACAAAGGCAAAAGCAGCAGCAGAAAAAGCAGCAAAAGAAGCAGCAACAGCGGCAGCAGCAGAAGCAGTAACAGCAACAGCAGCAGCAGAAGCAGCAGCAGAAGCAGTAACAGCAACAGCAGCAGCAGAAGCAGCAGCAGCAGTGGCAGCAGCAGCGACACAAGAAGCAGCAAAAGCAACAACAAAAGCAGCAGAAGCAGCAAAAGCAGCAGCAGAAGCAGCAAAAGAGGAAGCAGAAAAAGCAAAAAAAGAAGCAGAAAAGGCAGCAGAAGAAGCAAAAGCAAAAGCAGCAACAGCAGCAACAGCAGCAGCTGCGGCAGCAGCAGAAGCAGCAAAAGCAACAGAGGCAGCAAAAGAAGAAGCCGAAAAAGCAGCAGAAACAGCAGCAGCTGAAGCAGAGGCAGCAGAAGCAGAGGCAAAAGCAGCTGCAGAAGCGGCAAAAGCAGCAGAAGCAAAAGCAAAAGAGGCAGCTGAAAAAGCAGCAGCAGCAGCGGAATCACTGCGAGTTACAACAGTCGGAGAAGAAGCAAAAACAGCAACACATGATCAGGATAATTCAGTCGAACACCATTCTGAAGAAAAACAAGAGCTTCTACAAGAACAAGAACCGGAACGACAAGAAAAAGAACAGCATGAAAAGCAGCAACACCAACAGCGTGAACATTCCGCAGGAAATGGCGAAGAATCCCCGAAAGAAAAAACTGCTAATGGTACAAATGCAACTGCAATTAAGGATGACAGTGACGGCAGCACCGCGGTCTCCCACACCACCTCCCTTCTTTTGCTTCTTCTTCTTGTTGCGTGTGCGGCTGCTGCTGCGGTGGTGGCCGCGTGAGAGTGAGGGAGAGAGAGCCGTGCACCGCCCGCACACACAGTCGTCCTTCTCTCTCTCCCTGTGTGTGTGTTTTGCTTTACGGGAGCAATGAGAGTGTGTGCGCTGGTCGTCCCACGCTTCGGCTTTTAAATTTATTGTTTTTTTTGTTTTTTGTTTTTTGTGTATTTAATTTTTTTTCCTGTTTGTTTTAAATTTTTTTTGGTAGTCTTTTTTTGTTATTAATTTGTTCGTTTTTAATCTCTCATCGCTCGTCCCTTCTTTTTTTTTTTTAGCTTTTGGGGGCAGTCACTATGGACGTTTTTTCTTTTCTACTCTTCCCTCTTTTAATTGTTTTTTGCTGCACTCTTCCTGTGAGGGGTGCCGTGTGTTTCCCGCCCAACTGCTCCACTCGCACACCCACCGACACGCTCATGACGACGGCCCTGTGCGCCTCGCCTGCTGCACGCATGAGGAGGGGCCGCGACGAACGGCGCGCTGAGGGAGCCGTGACGTGTGGGCGTGCGACGAGGGCCTGTGGGGCGGAGCACACATTTCTTTCCCTCTTGTTTTGTTTTCTTGCGGCCCGGGCGGGCAGACACCCGCAGCGCCACACACACACACACAGCCACACCCTGCCGCCGTGTTTTTATGATTTTTTGCTTTGCGTGTGCATTTCTCGCGCCGGCAGTCCCTTCGCTGTCGGCCTTGTGAGCATTTCTCTCCCCTCTGATGATTTTTTTTCTTTTGCTGCGCTCACTCTCCCGATGGAGTGACGCGACCGCCGTCATGTCTGCGTGCTTCTCTCAGTCCCCACACACACGAAGAGTGACTGAGCTCTGCGGGCCGCACTCACGCGCCGATGAGAGGGCTGAGGGGAGCAGCAACACGCAGATGACCCCATGAAATATAAACGATGTGCGGACACACAGAGGGTCAGACGGTTGAAGGACATTTAAATATCTTTTAATTTTTATTTTGCGGGCAAAATATATGCAGACAGTTTGGTGTGGCCACATGGCAGCCGGCTGCTTTTTAAATTTGTGTGGAACAGTAATGGACGATTTCTTTTTCATTTATTTATTTATAATTATTTTGTGTGATGAGGTTTGTATAGGATGAAGGGGAAAGATGTTTTATTCTAAGTAAATCTTGTTTGGATTGCCGCTGCTTGGGCTGCAGTGCAATATCATGAGTTTCAGCGGTCTTCTTCTTGTTGCTTCCGCCATGCACCTCCGCTGTACATTTTTTTGCGTCTCTCCACATACTCTGCTCTCTTTTTTCTACTTTTATGCTTTGTGTTTCTGCAGGCACACACACAAGATGCACATTGCAGTGGATTTGAATGCTTCTTTTGCAGTGCATGCTGGCAGTTGCGTGTGGCGGCTGTTGTATTCTTCCGTTGCCATGAGGAGAAGGGAGGAGGGAGAGGGAGTGCGCAGCCCGAGTCTCCTTTTCTGCGGGTGTGATGCACCGCGTGTGACTGCGTTGAGTTTGGCTCCGTGTTTCATTGAGGGCGGGATGGCTGGAAATTTTGTTTCCGCGTCATGGATGGATGAGGGTCCACTGTCGCGTGTGGCTGGTGTGGTGGGTGCTCGCTCCGTGTGCGTTGTGTGGTGGCCGCGGGTTTTGGCCATTTCCCTTTGGCTGTGGGAATGAGCTGGGAGGAGATGCTGGTGGATGCTTTCTCGTGGTGTGTGAACTGTGCGGCTGGGCCTGCTGCCCTCTCCTCATGTTGTCTGCTGTCTCTTACTGTATCCGCTGTGCTCCGTCCCCCTTCCTCCTGTTCCATTGTTTTTCCTTTTGGCTTACGGATCAACTCACTGACTCCAGCGACTCCACTACAGGTGACGATGACTGCGATGGTGACGGTGCGGCGCCGTGTTGGTCCTTGCGCTCTTGTGCTGCTGCTGCTGCTTGTCCGTGTGCGTGACGGCTGTTGAGAGTCCTGGAGATGTATCTGGTGATGCGGATGCGGCGGTTGTGCCGGTAGATGTGTCGTGTGCTCCGAGTGACGGCAGCCTGAGCTACCGCGTGCGCGTGTGTGTGGGCGTGGAAAAGGTGTTCTGCTGCCAGTTCTGAGGCTCAGCATGAGAATTATACTTTCAGTGGCTTTGATGTGCGCATGCATGGCAGGAATGGTGAGCTGGGTGCTGTGTGCCATGTGGCCAATGCGATGCACACATGTAGCAACTGTGCTGCCAGCTGTGCAACGAAAGAGGAAGAGGCCACCGTTGCCTTCACGATGAACGTGACGACACATAAATACGCCGGCCCTCATGAATTGTGGTGGCGTCAATTTTCCTCTCGATGGAACCATCCATCCGCCTGCACGGAGCAGCGATGCTGAACAGACGGGCATCTGTCAGTCGCCGCCACCCCGTGAAGGGAAGGATGACACAAAGTCTGGTGGGACAACTGCGCCGCAAGTTAATGCTGAGCCGTCACGTCAAAACGAGGATTGGCGACAGTCTGCGGCGGCTGACGGACCGAACACCGTCGATCCGAGTCCCGCATCCAACACGGCGACCAACACGTCCGAGACGAGGCCTGAGTTTGCCGCCAATCCGAACGAAATGATGGTCCCGAATGCATCCAAGAAGAGGCCTTCCTTTGCCAACGGTCCGAGAATATTAGTGGCGCTGAATGCATCCGGGATCATGTCTGTCACTTATGGCGGCAGGGAACACGTTGCTGCGGATAACACGGACGAGGTGAGTGAGCGCAACGCCACTGGACACAAAACTCCTTTCTTTAGTAAATGGCGTTGCAGGCAGTGGATTTGTTGCTGAGGGTGATGCGGACGGATTGAGTCAACGCAATGCCTCTGGACACGAAAACCCCAATTACGAGAATTCACCGCGCAGTATTCCGGGAGCGGTGTGTGTCCCGACGACTGCTTTGCCCTGCTCAACGACGCGAAATTGACACTGCGGGAGTTAACTGTTGACGGCACTGTGCGTGTGTGCGTGTATTGGGCGTAGCTGCTTCTTCTGGGATTGTGTGGATTTGTGGCGGTCTTGTGAGCCGAAGAGTGTGGAATTGCGACTCCTCACGGAGAACATGTGCTGCGTTCCCTGCGTGTTTTCTTTTATTATTTACGTTTTTTTTTTTTTTTATTTTTTTTTTTGCTGTTAGTTTTGTTGTTTTTACTGGAATGATAAGTATCCTTGCTGTTCCTTTATTTAATGCTCGTTTGCTGTACTTTGTCATGTGTGACGTGTTTCTCCTCCTTGTTTTTTTTTTGTTGCCCACACGCGGTGCCGGCCTCATTGCAGTGCGTCCCACGGACTGCCCGAAGGAAGGATTGGAGGAACAGGCCGGATGCCGCAATGAAATGTGAGGAATGTTTTGTGTGGGCTCAGGAAGCAGGACGATCTTTTTTTATTCAATGCAGGCAATATGTATACACAAACACATGCTTATATTGCGCCGCTTGGCACATAAAATAAATGTCCTGCCGAATGAATTTATTTATTCTTTCCGAGAGCCCTGCCGGACACTCAACTCTTTTTTTTTTTTTTGCTTAACTTCTGGTTTGCAGGGCTGTGTGCAAGTTCTTCAATCGCACTGATTTCCTCTGCCTCGACGTGCGTGTTGCTGGGGTGCTGCCACTTGTTGCTGTGGCGTGGCTGTGTGACTTCTCTCCTTTTGCTTTCACTCTGCGTTGACGGGGAGTTAGTTTGTGCTGAAGGCTACACGCAAGTGACAGGAGTGATGGCGATGATGATGACTGGCCGTGTGCTGCTGGTGTGTGGCCTCTGCGTGTTGTGGTGCGGTGCCGGCGGTAGATGTGAAGATGTGGTGAAAGCTCCTGAGAGGGGTGGTGAATCTCCGCAAACAAAACCCGAGACGCCAGATTCAGGCATTCTGGGAACGCAACCAAAAGTAACAATAGATAATGAGGAAGATGAAGACAGTGATGCTAATGAGAAAGAAGAATTGGAAGAGGAAAAAGCAGAAAAAATTAAAGCACCAACCCAGACACACGAGGGTAAAAAGAATGAGGGAGCATCCCTACCACCGCCACCACCAATACCATCGGGAGGCCCAACAGCAGAGCGAGGAAACCCACAGAATCCAAGAAAAGTAAAGAACGAAGCCACGCCGTCAGGATCCAAAAAGGACTCAGAAGCACCGGAACCGCCTTCAGGGGTTGCTACACAAGGGCAGCACAGTCATGACACAGAAACAGAGGATTCGACGAAGAATGCAGCAACCGGCAGTCCAGCAGAACCAACATCCTCATCTACCTCTACAAGTGGCAGCGGTGATCATGTCCACAATAAGGCAGATAAGGATGATGCTCAAAGCTCTGAAGGACAACACGACAGCCTTGAAACTGGCAATACCAACGTTGTTCCAACTCTCAGTGAGACAGCACCACAAACGGCAAAAACAACCACCGCCGCTCGAATAAATGGTACGGCGACGCCTGGCGACAGTGACGGCAGCACCGCGGTCTCCCATACCATCTCTCCTCTTTTGCTTCTTCTTCTTTTTGTTGCGTGTGCGGCTGCTGCTGCGGTGGTGGCCGCGTGAGAGTGAGGGAGAGAGAGCCGTGCACCGCCCGCACACACACTCGTCCTTGTCTCTCTGTGTGTGTGTTCCCTTGCATGGACTCTCGCCCTCACCTCACCCCACGAAGCACACACATAATGTGCCCATTGTATATATTGCATGCACACCCATGCAGGCCCGTTGGTGCTCTCTTTTGCACCACACGCACCGCTGCCGTCCTGCCTGGCCGCATGGGCGGAGCACCGTAACTGTTTCTGTTTTTGTTTTTATTGCATTGAGTGGGCGACCTCTCTCTCTCTCTCCCTGTGTGTGTGTTTTGCTTTACGGGAGCAATGAGAGTGTGTGCGCTAGTCGTCCCACGCTTCGGCTTTTTGGTTTTTATTGTTTTACTTGTGTTGTGGTTGAGTGCACCTTTTCCGCACTTTCTCGATTGGCAGTTTGATTTGACCTTGGAGACTTGATTTTTTGCT